TAATTAGCATGCTACAGGCCCCTATAACGTTGTAGCGTGCAGCATTATAGCGTTCAAATGATGAAAAAGTTCAGAAAAATAGGGTCAACACAGGTAGGCTCGGTGCTCTTTATATGTTAACTCCGGTTATCAATGTTCAGAGTAGGTGTAGGCCAGCACAGGTTCACTTTGTGGTTTGTATATGGTAGATGTAGTCTTGGTCCTCAATGTTCAGAGTTTGTATGTTAAATAGATTGACTAAAGTTTGAGATTCTGTTTAAAATTTATGGTCCCTATCTATTGCTAGATTAGGTCTCTCTATGATAGTGTCTTAAGGTACTGGAGTACTTCGTTTTGCAAACGCTCCTTTGAAATATAGCACGCTATTACCGTGTTATAACTTGTGTAGCATTTGAAGATGGGCCACGCTATATTTTGTACTCCCTCCATCCGAAAAAACTTGTCCCTCCAATGAATGTATCTAGCATAAAATTAGTGCTAGATACATCCATTTGAAATACAAGCTTGGGACAATCTTTTCCGGACGGAGGGAGTAGCACGCTATTTTTTTTTTTGTTGGTCTACATGCATGGAATCTCCTCACAGACACAAAGTTTGCTTCTTTTTTTCCATTTCTGCTTGGACTCTATCTAAATGTAAGAATTATAAGTTTTATGAACGTTTTTAAATTATAAGGAACAACCCATTTAGTAGCCTCTCTCCTCCAATTAATGTATGACCTAACTTTTCTCTTTCTTTTTCATGCACGTGAGACCATTGAACGTGCACTGATTAATAGTGAATAGTAATTTTTTATATTCACGAATTAGCCGTTCTGTCTTATAATCTTAACAGAGGGAGTAGTGGAGTAGCTAGTTCTAGTTCGTCAACACTTTGGTGCATCTTTCTTTCTACTTTTAATTGCTAGCCGTATAATATGGTGGTTCCTGCAACAATCTATTTTTCCGATCACATAACTGCTTGCCGAGCGAATTACTTTTTTTTTTAACCTTCTTGCCGAGCGAATTACTAGTGCGAAGGACGGGTGGGGCGTGGCTTGCCGTAATCTACTGGGTAAGATATGGCCTCGTGATAACGCCTGGACTCAACGCGTGATAACGCCTGGACTCAACGCGAACAAATTCTACAACTTAGGACGTGATTGGTTGCCTGGGCCCTTTTTTTGCCCCCGGGAGATTTTCACCACGGGACCAGGCTGAGTAAAAACGTGGACTGGGTCTGGTTGTGCACTTCGTTTGGTCTCCCGTATGGATCTCGGTGCAAAAAAAATACACGGTATTTGGTTCACATCTCGCACCGCGTGGCATTTGAGCATTTGTGGTTACCCGAATATGCTTAGCTAAATCCCTCTTAATCTTCTCAACCGTGCTCCGATTCGAAAAAAGTTCTACATGAAAACGGTTCGCCTCGATGTTGCGACTCTAAGTGGCCACCGATTTGAAGTTTCGTCTAGTATATGAACCTCTATTTTGTATTCCCTTTTGTAGCTTGTTCGAATGAAATTTGTTAAATTATTCACACACGGTCGACCGTTTGAAATTTCCGTCGAGGAGTAGCTTCATCTCGTTGTTCCCCACAAGTTTCATGTTGCATGTTTTTCATTTTGACGTTCATAGACAAGTACAACTACAGCTCTGTATGGTGTATTAGGGAGGTGTAGATGTACTCGTCTACGTATGTCAAACTAGAAAACTTGCAACACAAAAATTGTGGAAAACAGCAAGATGAAGCAACTCCTCGAAGGAAATTTCAAATAGTCGACCGTGTGCGAAGAATTTGACAAAATTCGTTCAGACAAGCTGCAAACATGAATACGAGTTAGAGGTTCAAATACTTAACGAAACTTCAAATTGATGGCCGAATCAGATTACCAATGTCAAAGCGCACCATTTTGATGTAGAGCTTTTTTCGAATTGATGCACGGTTATGAAGATTGGGAGGGATTTAGCTAAGCATGTTTAAGAGGCAACGTCTCTGCCAAAACACATACATGCTTGCACGCGTGGGGAAGAGAGCACGAAGCTTAAAGCAGCAACTAGCCAGGCTCGCTGGAAACGGCCGAATCGAGCGTTTTTAGCGGGCCTGGCTGAGAAGTGCTTTAAAGCGCGTGCGGGCCAGAATTTCGGTGCGAGCCAGCAGATCAAACGGTCCAAAATTCATTTGCCACGGTGCGAGAAGAGGCCTTCCCGGCAACCAAACACGTCCTTATTATGCACATGACTTAGAGCATCTCTAGAAGTCCCATTAAAAGGGAGAAATCCATAAAATTATGGCGGGCTTAAGGGCTTAGGCCCAGTTTCCGCGCAGAACAGAGCCCTTATATCGAGCGCGGCCTGTAAACGAGATACAGGCCACCGTAAATCGGAACCCTCAGCCGTTTTTGTTCCGCTCGAGCGGTGGTTTGAGGGTTAGAACCCTAGTCCCTCTGCCGCCTCCGCCCCTAGTGCCCCGCCACCGGCCAAAACTTCATCCTCCTCCCGATGCCGATTCGCTCCGCTGCAGCCGACATGGCATCGAGGCCAAGGTCCACCACGCCGGGGCGAGCCCGTGGAGGCCTTAGCGGCGCCTCCGCAAGCCGCAACGCATCGACCGGCCACCACGTCATCTCCGCCGACGAGAGGCACTAGCTGAGCCGCTCGGAGGGAGCGCGCAAGCGCTCCGCCAACCGCAAGCGCAAGTGGGCCGGCCTTGCGTGGTTCTCCCCTAGTGGGGAGGGGTCCTCGTCTGCGGAGGTCGTCCTCTCCTTGCCGGAGGTCAAGTTGGAGCCCGTCGAGGTGGAGCCCGGAGAGCATGCCCTGATCGAGCACGGTGGGAACGGGGTCAGCATCACCGAGCTCAGTTACGTTGGGGAGGAAGAGGTCGAGTGCGTCACGGCGCAGCTCTGGGAGCAGAGTGCCCGTGATGCCGAGGCAGCCTCTGAGGAACGCCGCCGCAAAGAGGAGGTAAACGGCTACCTCATCCGACAGGGCATGGTGCCTATGCCAGGAGGAGTGGAAGCTCGAGGCGGCTCAGCAGGCCGAGATGTTTGTCGACCTCGTCTGCAACGAGGATTGAGAAGCCGACTAGCGGCTCAGGCGCAAAGGCTCCGACGAACTATCACCGGAGCCACCTGATCCCCCACCCATCAGTAATCGAGTTTATGCAACTTTAATTTCGTTTTTACCTAATCTATTTTACTGAATTTCATCTGTTGATCGCAACTTCATAATGTGTTTCGGCGCGATTTTAATTCCCCGACGAATTTTCCTTTTGCGGTTTAGGTA